ATATATATATATATATAATATGAATCCACGTATGTCAGTTTGAAATTGATGGATTTTATTGGGACTACATTTTATCTTCCCTTGACACGGGTTTTGCGGTTTCAGGTTACCGGGTAAAGCGAAAATTTGATATCAGTCACTGACATTTTGTTAACATTGTTCCAATGGGAAGGTCGTGTGGTGTGAGAGGTCGATTTACAGGTACGATTTTTAATTGTTTTTCATTGATTATTAACTACATAATTGAACTTACATTGTATATTTACTACTTTTGGACTGTGAAATCCAATGGTGTGTGAATTTTTTTTATTTTCGTTATTTATATACCACAAAAACTTCTAATATAAGCAAATTTTCAGGAATGTATTACAAATAATTTACCAATCACAATAAAAAATTAAAGTATGATAAAAAAATGAAACTGAAATCATTTGAGGAAAACATTTCTTACTGTAAAATTATGAAGTAATTTTTTTCTTTTTATTTGGAAATTCTACATTGTTTTACTGATAATTGGGAAATTTGTTTGAAGAAAACTAAATAAAATAGTAAAAATACCCAAAATATGATTCTGATTCATTAATTTTAATTACAGTATTCAGTTATTTTCACTGTTCAATTCTTCTTTGAAGGAGCCAACTAGGTAGTTAATTATCTTGCAGAGTTGACTTGTGCCCTTGACTCTTCTCACATGTTGAGGGTGACAGAACAGGGAACCAGCTGTGCGCTGCCTCATATAAACTCCATCTCTGTGTCTTAAATGTCTTTGAAGGTACACTTTAAATGAATTTACACTGCTCACAGAAACTGCTTCCTTCAGGAGATTGTTCCATTCATCCTTCACTGTTTTTGAGAGAAAAAACTTCCTTAGATCCAATCTAAGAGTTGGGGGGGGAGCATATTTTGAGATTCTAATTAACACTTTTGAGACGTGTCATGGGTGAAAGGCCATGTCATCTCGTTTGTTGACTTGCATTCAAAATTTTATTGAACTATTACTTCATAAATTTATGTCAATAAGTTTGGTATCAAACTGTAGATTATAATTCAAATTTTAGTACTATACATTGCTCAATTTCTTAATTTAAAATTAAATATTAAAAAATACAGTTAACATTGATTTTTGTGTGTCACATGGTATGTTGAATGCAGCACTGGTTTAAATAAGATGTTTGTGAAGTCAAAATACAAAGTCTATAGTTTTGTACGAATTAGGAACTCAAAGTACCGATATTGGGAAGCTAGAATAT